TAATAAAGGGGTTAAATGAATGATTCCCGAGGTCTTTCAAAACAATACATAATATATCTTTGTCAAAACCATACTTATCATAGCTTGTACAAAACATGAGATAAATCTTGTTCATCAAACTTGATCTTATAAAACTTACTTATTTAACATACCTCAAATCTTATAACATAACCTCGGCATAACCTTCCAGCACGAGGGAGCTCGTGTTACTTAGGCCCGTAGCCCGCTTTAACCTCATGGAGCTCGTGTTACTTAGGCCCGTAGCCCGCTTTAACATCATGGAGCTCGTGTTACTTAGGCCCGTAGCCCGCTTTAACACAATAGTCTTTCCAAGAAAGGACCGTATCTTTTTATACTTGGTACTGCGAAAGTTTAGAGTCCTCCAGCACAAGGGACCTATGTTACAAGAGCCCGTAGCCCTTTAACACTTGGGTGTTGCTCAAGTTTAGAGTCTTCCAGCACAAGGGACTTTCCGAGAATGTCGTTAAAACAAAGCTTACTTGATACATTGCCATTCAAAACGAAGCTTATACTTGATACATAAAATAGGGATATCATTCATGCTTAACAAATACTTTTATCAAAACAAGGTAAAGCTTTATCAAAACCTTAAGAACATAACTTTATTAAAAATACCACTCACATTAGTTCCTGGGACGTCGGGATCAAGGCAAGGGTCCAGGTCCTACAAACACATGACAAAGCATACTGAATGCACTTCTCAAAACAGATCTCACATGCATGCAAATGATCTCGGGAAAATATGCTGGAAGTCAAAACACTGTTTTACATGTCAGGAAGACATGCTGGGTACCAACCAGGTCTTTGCCGAGGTCCCACACCTCCTGGCCGAGGTGTGGCTACCTAGGCTTCGGCATGCGGTTGCATGCCGAGGTGCGCACAAGACAATTAAAGGCGTAAGTGATCATGCAAGGTAGGCCAAGGTGAGATACGATGCTTGGCCTAAGTGTGAGGTCTAGGTGAGAGTGACCTCGGCGACTACACCTCGGGAAGTGAAGTCTGGTGATCTGGGTTTCCACCCGTGAAGAACAGGAAGAACATGAACATGAAGATCATGAAGAACATGGATGCTAAAATCATAACTTCTTTATAACAAAAATCTGAGATTTCATGCTATGAGTTCGAAAACATGGACCTGGGTACCCATACTCGAAAATCATGCGAAAACAAACACAAAAACATGGATCTAGGCATGAGCCTTCGGATCAAAACATGACTTTTCTTGAAGAACACATGAATGTCATTTTCTCTTTCTAAAACCGAACTTCAAAGCAATGCATGGCTTACAAATCATATTCAATCATGTAATGCAATAACATGAACATAAAGAACAACAAGAGCGGATCAAGAATCTAACCTTAGAACACGGATCTAACGGTTCGATTTCTAGGAATCAAGCTTAGAAATCTACCTCCTCTCAAGAACTCCTCTCCCTCTTCTAGAGCTTCTCTCTCTACTCTTCAAAACAAGTATAGGAACAAATGATGGGTTTCTCTCTCTATCGGTTGACTTAACTCTCAGCTCGGACGCGTAGCAGCGGCTGATTGGTTCTCTTCAAAAAGGTGATAGATTGACAAGACAAGACTATGACAAAGCGTATCTAACAAGCTACTCGGTAAGGCACTTCGGCAAGTGGTGACATCGGCTAAGAACAAAGCTTCGGCAACTAGGGTGACAATGACCTCGGCTAGGAAGGACGACACTTGACTAAGCTGTGCCACACCTTGGCCTAGATGTGCCACACCTCGGTCTAGGTCATACCACTCCAGGACAAGATCACTCAGGTGCAAAGGTAACATCTCGGCCTAGATGATACACATCTCGGCCTTGGTGATTCACACCTCGGCCTAGATAATGACATCTCGGCCAATATGCTAGGGCGAAGGTGGAGGTCAAACAAAGGGGTTCCAAGGTACTTCTAGACTGAATGACCTCGGCTTGGAATGATCTAGGCTTAACATAACCTAGGCTTGGCACGACTTCGGCTAAATATAACTTAGGCTCGGGGTACCAAGGAAGGAACAAAGCAAGCACACAACACTTAGACAAATCACATAGACATCAAAACATGGCATGGATCTTACTTAGGCAAAACAAGTCATAATTATGCAAATGCAAGCTTAACGGGTCATAATCATACCAATGTTCATGAATATGACTACGACATAAATGTGGGTTATTACAGTGAATTATGAAATGAAAAGGAAATTGTAGCGATTCTAATTTTCTTAAGTCATTTATTTATTATTATGATTATTATTATCTTATTTTATTTTTGGCTTTATTAATTGTGTGGGTCACATGAGAATCGAGACAACTCCGGTGATGACGGACATGTGGCCTTCGGCACCGAGTCAGTGTTTCCTAAATTTCCCCATTTTAAAAAAAAAATATTTAGGTGGCGACTCTGTATCTGGCAAAGCAGTCCATGTTCGGCACTACTTTTTCAAAAATCTGTTTCTCAAAACGATTTGCTAGATTTGGACTCTTTGGTTCAGATTTAGAACCACGACAACAAAAATCGCGAGTCCGAACTGTAGAAGCATGAGGCCCCCCTCCGCGGGCGCGTCTACATAGTCGCAAAAGACTTTTTGCAACGGCCCATGCGACGGAAATGAGGGTCACAAATGTGGGGGTGAAAAATACTTTTTGCGATTGCAAAATAGCAGTCGCAAACTATTTGCGACCGCCTAACCTACTTATAGCGACTGATATTTTGCCGTCGCAAAAGAGTTTAAAAAAGGCCTATAATGTATTAGCGACCATTTTCTTACCGTCACAAAATAACCCTACAATCATATATATATTCAAATATTATATACAATAAACGTAAAGACATATTTGCAAAAATCTCAACATTCATGCATTATTTTTCATTTCTTCCTTTAATAAAATCTCAACATTCATGCATTAACACTTCTTCTACACTTTCCTCGAAACTATCACAAACCTCAAAATATAATTTCCACTAAACCAAAGAACTAAACAATCAAAAAGAATTGAAAGTGAATTAAATACACATCCATGCTTCCTAGGTCCACACAATATTCTTTTCTTTTTTTTAACCTAAATGGTGTAAAAAAAAAAAAAAACCGCTCTACTCTTACTTGCGTGTCTTCTTTTCCATGTAACGCATAACAACGCTGCTCTTACTAGTTGAAGGGAATGAACTTTCAGGACACAATGGAGGCGGCTCTCCCATGAGAACCATTGGAGAAGCACCAGTCTTGATGATCTGCAACACTACTCTTCACGCTAAGACCAGAAAATGAGATGCTGGAATGGGCATGCATTGCAAAGCAAAGATTTGGATCAGTTTTAGAGCTTATCACGGAATCAGCAGATGTCGGATTGCTGATAGCCGGCTGCATTGACTTAACTAGTCCAATTGATGACCCCTGGGGAAAACAAGCAACATTTGATGATAAGTGCATTTTAAATCAGATGTAAACTCACAAATAACAAGGGGTTTCAGTAGTACTTCAATGAGAGAAAGCATAAGCATTTATTTAGAAACTTCAGCAGAAATATTTGATGACATACATGCAACTGTGAAATGTTTGCTAGAACGTGATTGACAGGTGTTGAAAGGAGAGGAGAGGTGTTTATGTCAGTTTGGCAAGCAATAATCATGTCAGAAATTCAAGAAGCATGGCTATGATTGAAAACGTGTCATATAACATTCCAAGAAGAAAGGCCCACAGCTCAAAGCCAATGAGTAAGGCAATTTTTCCCTAGCAAATGGATCCATGAAATTTAGATCCCCCATCATGATCTATGACAGATTTCTAGTTAATCATAACAAGGTACGGCTGATTTGGGGGAAATTTGTGAGGTTTGTATAGTTGAGGGGAATAATAATAATAGTTGAGAGGGTCTTGATGTAAATAACCCAAATAATACTAATAATAATAATCTACAGCAGCACTGGGTGTTTTACACCATCCACTATTGACTCCCAAAAAAAATAATGATGAAATAAAATAAAAGAAATAGGAGGAGAAAAATTTGAATCTCATTTCCAAAAACAGTTACCAGGATTACATGTCTGCAATTCTCATTCTCATCAGCAAAATAAATTTCCTTTTCCTATGAATGTAATTCTTTCTGTAAGAGATCGGTTTTTGGGTTCAATACCCCAAATTTTGCATCCTAATGTTGACTGACAATGACAATGCAATGAAAAGAAAAAGTTGAACTTACTACAAAGGAAGCATAGTTTCGGTATTACAAATGGTTTTAGGTAGTGATCCCCTGCATTAGTGCATATTTCAGAAATATTGTGAGGAAAATAGAATCATAAAAATCAGTTTTTACATTTCTGTAGAACACTAAAAAGTATTTAGGTTCTTCTGCTCACTCTGACTTCTAGTTTCGGTATTACAAGTGGTTTTAGGTAGTAATCCCCTGCATTAGTGCATATTTCAGAAATATTGTGAGGAAAACATAATCATAAAAATCAGTTTTTACATTTCTGTAGAACACTAAAAAGTATTTAGAAACATTAGTGAAATATATATTGGTGATTTGTTATGGTGTATGGAAACAATGTGTTCCCTTATAGATATTGTAACAAGGACGCATATGGCAGTGGCCAACATCAATATTTAACAAATTAACAGAATCAATTAATTGCACACAAAGATTTCACAAAATGAAAAACAGATGAGAGATAAAATGTAATGCCCAACCTAATGTTTAACATGAATATTTTTTCTAGAAATGCAGATCACTGCTTATAGTTGTTAGATCAATAATGTTAACAGATGAACAGTACAGATGATCAATAATGTTAACAGATGAACAGTACAGATGATCAATAATGTTAGATCAATAATGTTAGTAATAGAAAGTAATAATATCAAGACAAACTAAAAAAATCCAAGGCAGCATTTAGGCAAACACATAAAAATAGACTTACAGGTACTGTAAATTCTTGAGCTAGCCAAGCTGAGGGACCAAAAATTGGCCAAATAATGCTGCATTTCCAAGATCACTGAAGAAGAGACAAACAACCATCATAGAAGACCTCAAAAATTGGGAGAAAGTTATGTACTTCATGGAAGTTCAAAATGTTTTCATGTGCATTGATATCATCAAAGAAGATAGCTTACACTCTTATCACACTATTTTCATTTTTTATTTGGATCAAACCTATGGCATAGATCAATCATCAACCCAATGTATATATCCTATATTTTAATTTTGATTTAAAACCAATTAGTCACATATAGAGTACACCATCACTGTTAATTTAATTGTCCTTTATTTTATCTCCGTGTACTAAGGTCTAGCCTACACACACAAACTTGCAGGCACACTGTATATAGAGAACATAGGATTATGACTGAACATTAGGTTTGTTATAGAACCTGACATGGCCTGAGATGCTAAATTAGAGATTTGAAAATAAGTTACCACAAGCACTTCTTGAAGTTAAAAGTTTGTTCAACATAGGATTATGAACTTGATCCATGCTTATATTAGTTAGTGTTGTTAGTCTGTATAAGCTTACAGTCTATATAAGCTTACAGTTTTGACTAATCATGTATGCTTTGGTTTAGGGAAGAGTAAGAGAAGTATCCTGTCACAATCTTATTAACCATTATTCAAAGAAAGAACCTTTCCACAATTTTATATTTATACCAAATTGATATTAACATTGTCACTCACAATATAAAAAGATATTAGTCAGTAAAGTTTAGTGTTATAAAACTTACCTAATAAACTAAGCAAGAGATACTAGGTGCATGTCCAACTAGGCACATTGGACACAAATCCTGTACTCTTTTAAGTCTTACGCGTGTCAAGTGTTCAACACCATTACTTCTTGCATTTAGAAAAGTCAAAAGCAACATAAGAGATATTCAAGCATTATTAAAGGTCAAGCAGGGGACCTTAATTGTGTTCTTCCACACTCTTCCATTCCATAAAATTAAAACCACAATTTAGAATACTAAGAATAATTACATGTGAAAGACATTACCATTGCTTCTTTGAATAGATACTCCTGTAAGTGAATGCAATATTTGAAATCATCGCACTAATGAAACCAGTCCACAGATTAATCTGAGCATTTCGAAACAGTGAAGATGAAGCTTACAGATTAATCTTCAATATGCTCAGATTGAATTTATTATTATTCAATCAACTTTCCAACATTACAGATTAATCAACCATCACAAAAAGTAATCGATGAAGATGAAGATTACAGATTAATCAACCATTACATGGAGTAATTCATGTTCAATTTACATGTTACAAATTAAGCGATGAAGATGTGTCATTACAGAGAGTAAGATCAGAGCGATGAAGATGAATCGATGAAGATGTGTCAAACGTTACAGAGAAAGACAAAGAGAAGTATTTAGGCTTACCGATTATGAATCTCGATTATGAATCAATCGAAATCTTCTTCAACAGCATCTTCAAATCTTCAAATCTTCAAATATTTGGCTTCAAATCTTCATCAACAGCATCTTCAAATCTTCAAATTTTGAAATCAAATCTTCAAATCTTCACTGTCGAGCGAGAGAGACAATGAGATTCGAGTGAGAGAGAGTGGAGATTCAAAAGAAAGAGTCGAGCGAGATAGATTTTGAGAGAGAGAGAGAGAGAGAGAGAAGAAGAAGAAGAAGGGAGTTCAGATTTGGAAAATTAGGAAAAAAATGGACATAGGTCACGTTTTACGTTTTTGTTTTTTTTTTTTTGGGGGAGTAAAATGAGATTTTAATATAAAAAATAACATGAGATCCATAAAGGAACGGCCATAAAGGCTTACAGTTAACCTATAAAGGGACGGCTATAAAGGCATACAGTTGACCCATAAAGGAACGGCCATAAAGGCTTACAGTTAACCTATAAAGGGACGGCTATAAAGGCATACAGTTGACCCATAAAGGAACGGCCATAAAGGCTTACAGTTAACCTATAAAGGGACGGCTATAAAGGCATACAGTTGACCCATAAAGGAACGGCCATAAAGGCTTACAGTTAACCTATAAAGGGACGGCTATAAAGGCATACAGTTGACCCATAAAGGAACGGCCATAAAGGCTTACAGTTAACCTATAAAGGGACGGCTATAAAGGCATACAGTTGACCCATAAAGGAACGGCCATAAAGGCTTACAGTTAACCTATAAAGGGACGGCTATAAAGGCATACAGTTGACCCATAAAGGAACGGCCATAAAGGCTTACAGTTAACCTATAAAGGGACGGCTATAAAGGCATACAGTTGACCCATAAAGGAACGGCCATAAAGGCTTACAGTTAACCTATAAAGGGACGGCTATAAAGGCATACAGTTGACCCATAAAGGAACGGCCATAAAGGCTTACAGTTAACCTATAAAGGGACGGCTATAAAGGCATACAGTTGACCCATAAAGGAACGGCCATAAAGGCTTACAGTTAACCTATAAAGGGACGGCTATAAAGGCATACAGTTGACCCATAAAGGGACGGCCATAAAGGCTTACAGTTGACCCATAAAGGGATGGCCATAAAGGCATACAGTTGACCCATAAAGGGACCGCCATAAAGGCATACAGTTGACCCATAAAGGGACGGCCATAAAGGCTTACAGTTGACCCATAAAGGGATGGCCATAAAGGCATACAGTTGACCCATAAAGGGACGTCACAGAACAGATAACAGATGTCATTTGAAGTTAAGAATGCCACGCATACCTTTCAAAAACATTGAACAGCCATTCATTTATACAGAAACTAATATTTCAGAAATAGATCACCTTATATCATTCGGAAAATACTTAAACCTCAACATAGCTTTACAAAGTTACTACTCACAGTATTCAGATGCCTGGTTCGCCCTTGTAGCTGACCCTACACAATTCATAATACACGTAGAAATCGGGTCACAATATAATTTATTCTGTTCCTAACTTGTTTAATTCTCTTCATACCAAATTACAACAATTTCGCAAATTCATTACAAGTCACAAATAATAACCTCAACTCAACACACTTCAACCCAATATTAGTCAACTCAACTTAATTCAACATAAGTCAAAACAACTTAATTCAACAATACTATTTACAATTTAACATAGTTCAAGATAAATTCTTGAATCCCATTTCAACATTCCATAACCAAGTTTATGTTGTCCATATCATTAACACATCTTTTCCCCCAAAACATTTCATATTATAGCATATTTACAATGCCCATAACAAGGTTCAATCGCTAATTTTTAACATAATTTTCGAACATTTCCAAAATTTAATTAAACTTGTGTATATATAATTCAACCTCTCAATTTCATGATTCTACTTTCAATTTGGGCAGAATCTTTGATTATCATCATGAATCAACCTAGGATTTTCAAGAAAATCAAGGATTTCAAGAAAAGTCCAAACTTCCCAAACCATTACTTTTTATTCCAGTTTTCCCATTGATTACACACCTAGGTTCATAATCCATCATCTTAATCCAACAATTGCACCCCCAACATTTCAAACTCTAAACCCTCAAATCTCATGTTGGACACTATATACTCAAAAAAATATAGATTTTGTATTTATATAGTCAAAATACCACAAATCCATCCACTAATGCAAGTATTAAAAGGGAACTAGGACCCTACCTCAAGAATCAAGCAAAAGAACGAAGCTCCAAGAAGAATTCTTCGCCAATCTGAAATCCAATCGGTTGAAAAGTGAGTTCTTCAAGCCTTCTTCACTTTTTGGTGGAAGATCTTGATCAATCCAAAGGGAAGTGGAAGGCATTTGAGGTCAAAGACCTAGGGTTTTTGAACCTAGGTGAGAAGGATGAAAAGAGGAGATGAAAAGTGTGAAGAATGATCTAGAAAATCCCCTTTAAACTTGCTGAATTCGCTCGATCCGCTCGAGCGTCGCTTTTCTCGCTCGAGCGTACCTGTTTTTAGCACAGATTCTAAAACTTCAAACATGTGTAACTCTCTCATCCGGACTCCGTTATAGGTCGTTCTTGTGTCCAAATCAAAGCCCCGGAAATACGATTTCTAATGGTTCTAGCCTCATATCCAAATTCAAAGTGTGGAAAAAGAAAAGGGCAAAAGAGTGACGGCTGCTCGTAAGAAAAATTATCCGAATTAAATTCTTGGTTCACTCTTACTTTACCATTATGCTACCACTTCGATCAATACCCCAAAATAAAATAAGGAGGTTCCAAATACACTAATAAAAATGTCAAGGGCAATCCCATTTTCCACGCTCGAGCGTCACTTTCTACGCTCGAGCGCGCAGACCAACAAAGCTGTCTGCTCGAGCGACCACTCCTACGCTCGAGCGGGAATTCACAACTCTCAGAATTCCAGACCGTCTGTAAAAATGCTGGGAATCTCTCAAGTCCGCTCGAGCATCAACTCCCTTGCTCGAGCGGAGGGAAATAAATTCTGGATCGTTACAATTTTCCCCCCTTTAGGAAGCTGGTCCTCCCAACTTAAATCACTTGTATCACAATCAAATCATGTAGTTTTGTCTCCTTCCATTCTTTCCCTCAATTAACTCCCTTATCAAAAAACCTCATCATAGAAGTTTAACTCATCATCATTTATGTATAGATTAATAATCCAAATCGGCTTAGCCACCATAATTTATCTTGGAATATAATCGTGGACCTCATAGTTAGCCTCATATTTAGGTTCACAAAATCAAAACATAAAACGCATTATTCATGAAACTCATATATTTTGCGTAGCTATTCACATAAATTTAAATAATTCTCATACTTCTCAAATAATCAAGGCTCAAACTCAAATAATACTCATGACTATACTTCCTTGTTTCAGATGAATTCAAACTATTCTATCATTGACATTCACACAGTTCAATTCCTTGATTTGATGGCCAGTGATCAATAACAAAGTAAAAGTTTTAATGAATGATGTCCATAACAGATTCAGAAATCAAAATTCAAATCAGAAACAGATTCTTATAATTGTTCAGATTCATAAACAGTCATACGTGGTACATCCAACAGCGCTAACAGACTAGATTGGTCATAAAGACCCATATATAGAGCAGATGGTCACATAAGACCCGTATACAAATCAGATCGAATAGATGATTATGCATAATCAGTTCCATGAATGGAACCCACATGAAACCCTAGTACCAGGTAACAGATAACAGATACACATGATGCTAAGGATGCCACGATACGCTTCAGAAATAGGACAGTCATTCATCTATACAGAAAATATTATTTCAGAAAACAGAGCTTATCATATCAGTTAGAGAATACATATAATTGAAAATATCACCTAGACGGGGTTTAATGAGATTTGGGAAGAGTGAAAAGTTATCCACTAGGTTTATTGGCCCTTTTGAAATCCTTGAGCGGATTGGAGAGGTTGCATATCGTTTGGCGTTACCACCACAACTTTCCGTAGTGTATGACGTATTCCATATTAGTATACTTCGGAAGTACGAGCCGGATCCATCACATGTGTTGGATTGGACCGACTTAGAAATAGATGAGGATGCCTCGTATGCGGAGAGACCGGTTCGAGTCATGGATAGATGGGACCAAGTCCTACGAGACAAGACAATTCCCCTGGTCAAAATATTGTGAAAACATCACGGGGTTGATGAAGCAACTTGGGAGCGGGCATTGGAAGTCTGAGAGAAATATCTAAACTTATTTGTTGATATTTGAGTATAAGTGGAAATTTTAGTTTTGATTATGAACTATAAAAACATTGTATATGTTCTGG